ACTTTCATCCTCCTCCTCTTGGTCAGTATCTTCTGCACTTTCATCTTCCTCCTCTTGGTCAGTATATTGTGCACTTTCATCCTCCTCCTCTTGGTCAGTATCTTCTGCACTTTCATCCTCCTCCTCTTGGTCAGTATCTTCTGCACTTTCATCTTCCTCCTCTTGATCAGTATCTTCTTGGCTTTCGTCTTCCTCCTCTTGATGATTTGTAGAGGACATCAGAATAGCTGCACTAGCCGCTCCTATAGCTAAACCTGTAAGACCAGAGGCTATATTTCCGCTTTGACTATTTTGGCCTTCGGGGTGATGACCCAGATCATGACTATAACCAGGCTTCCAGGGCTGTCCAGGATTTCCATCACAAGTAAAGCTGCCTCCCGTAGGCTCATGCGGACCTGTATGTTCGAATGGACCGATCGGTTTGACTGGACCTGCAGGCTGAACTGGGTTCGTTGGCGTGAATAGGCCAGTAGCTTCAAGTGGACCTGTAGGCGGGCCTGTTGGCTCAACTGGATCTGCTGGCTTGACCGGGCTTGTGACCTCAATTGGGCCTGTGGCCCCGGCTGTACCTGTTGGGACACCTGAACCTGTTGGCTTGACTGGACCTAGAGCCCCAAGTATGCTAGCCGCACCTGGAGCTGTAGGCTCAACTGGAACTGTCGGCTCAGCTGGTTCTACCGGCTTGACGGGCCCGGTGGGCTCAGCTGGAATTATAGGCTCAACGGACACTGCAGTCTCAATGGACACTGTAGTCTCAACGGCCACTGTAGGCTCGACGGGAACTGTAGGCTCAATTGGAACTGTTGGGTCAACTGGAACTGTTGGCTCAGCTAGAATTATAGGCCCAACTGGAAGTATTGGCATCATCAGACCATTATCGGTAACATGACTAGGAGTTTGACCTGGTCCATTGTAGAAACCATGGCCTTGGCCCCATTGGTTGCCATGATCCCATTGTTGATGCTGCCCTGGCCCGGAATGGCCATGAGGACTGTGACCATGCATGGGTGGGCCTTGTGCAGGTCTCAGCGGGCCATACGGCGGCAAGCACGCTTGGGGCGGAGGTTTGTATGGTTGGTATGAAACACTTTGTGATCCCGAATACATTCCATGGACTCCTAAGCTGGTCGGCCTGGACGGCTTAGGCGGCTTGTACTGCTGGTATTGACCACCTTGTGATCCTGGATGCCCTCCAGGGCCCCTCAACCTAGTCAGCCCAGGCGAAGGCATGGATGCAGGCTTGGACGGTTTGGGCGGTTTGGACGGCTTGGTCGGCTTGGTCGGCTTAGACTGTTGGTATGCACCACCTTGTGATCCCGGCAGCACTTCAGAGGCTCCTAAACTGGGAGGCCTAAATGGAGGGTTGGACGTGTTGTGTGGCTGGTGTAGACCAACTTGCAATCCAGAGGGCACTCTGGAGCCTGTTGGGGTGGGGGCAGGTTGCGAAACCTTGCCACCCGAGAGCAACCTCCTGAAAATCCCAGGCTTCTTGGGGGGTGGAGTAAAGCTTGGCTGTAGCTGCAGTTCTCGTAGACTCTGCTGTGCAGCGGTTGAACAAAGCGCTGGTTGGATTTGGGGAATGGTTCTTCCACCTGCAGTAGTCAAAACCGGAGGCGGTCTAACTCCTGGCTCAATCATCTGAGGAAGGTTCTGTTGAGACACCGACTTCATCCCTGGTAGCTTTGGAGGTTTGGTGGTTGGCGCGTCTGAGTGTAACTTCGGCGGCTTTGCGACTTTCTTTGGAGTCTTGGTTTGAACAGGCATTGCTGCGGTTGTATGGGCCACAGGATGATTGGTAGGAAGCGGATGCGATATTGGAGGGTATTGGAAGGTCGTTGAACTAGGCTGCGGGGCGATCTGCTGGGATGAGCCGATTGGTATGCCATGGGCAGTTGGGTAATGCATTTTCTCTTCTGGCCTGTAACTATTGGGAGAGGCGGAGAGCATGACCTTATTACCGACCAGTTGATGGACTACTGGTAGCTTGGGTGCCGCATTTCCGGGGGTCGATGCTGGTTTCGCGGGGCCCAGAGGACCCGCCTCGTGTGGCTTTCTGGGCTCCTTACCTGACTTGGCAGAGGAGTTCGGTTCTGGCGCAGTGATTGGCGCAATGTTGGCGAGTGGATACTGAGAGTGTTGTATTTCCTGCCCCAGTTGACCAGACGCAGAATGCGGTACAAACATTGGCTTACTAGCGGGCAGGCCAACAGGACGCCTGGGAATCTTCATCAAGCTCGGACCAAATTGCGTGAGTTGTGGAGTGTTGGGACAAGTCTGGATAGAGGACCTTGACGCATCCTGGGTGCAGCCATAGGCTGGCGCTGGCTGAGTGAGCATGATCATAGTACCTGGCAGTGTGCTATGGCTTAATTCACGAGCACTAGATGCATGCATCGGCACCGGCGATAATGGTGTGATTTTGAGCGTATTGTGGGTCATGGTAACTGTGTTCTGGAAGCTGTCATTCCGTTGACCCACGACCAAGGTACTCAGGGCATGTACATTCACGGCCTGAGATTCCTCAGTGTCCCGGTGGTTCTGAATCTCCTGAAGGCTTTTATGCCGCCCAGCTTTAGAAAGTTCCAAAGTAGAAGTCGGTTCCGTATCTTTTAATGCCGAATTTCGCATCTTCTTGATGACAGAGATAATCCTTTGGTAGTTCTCATCCTTCCTGCTTAGGAAACTTGCCATGGAGAGGTGACTGCATCCCACCATCAACTCGACCTTCTCCCTGCGAAGACCAAGTGCTGCGCAATACTCGTTCAAACTCTATCGGCGGATCAGTATTTTACTCCTCACACTTAAGAGCCTGCGAACTAATACTTACGCATTCTTGTTGTGGTGGCGTCGGAACATCTTCGTAGCAGAAAAGCAATTTCATTTTCTTAGTTGCCTTTGCCTTTGCCTTGAAGCCCTCGGAGATATCGCGCAGAGCAACTACACTGCTCTCTGCCCAACTAAGGTCTCCCAAAGATGACAGTTCAACCTGAGACCACCCTAGAGGTAAACCGTCGCTCGCGCAACGCTTCAAAAGCGTCGCCCAGGGGACCTCAGGTGATGTGCGTTGCGGCGTGCTAAGGAAGATGACCCCCAAAGTGCAATCGAATATAGTCGGAAAGTGTGTGAAGGCATCATTCAGGCACTTCATACCACAATGTGTTAGCTACATGATACTACAACGGAAGGAGTGCGTCGGCTGAAACAAAGAAGACCTACCGATTCAACGATAAAACCACCGAAGCCATGGCAGATCAACACTAGAGGCCGTTTCGATGGGACATCTTCCCGAATAGCAGCGATTTGAGCAAGCAGAGCCCTGGTCGCGCCCTGTATGCCCTCCAGTGGTGCCTCGCATAACCAGACTGCCTTGACGTCGTAATCAAACGTAAACACTCGGGCCCCACGAATGTCCTTTGCAATGAAATCGCGCAGCCAGAAGGAAGGGCCAGTGTAGGACTCCCAGGGGGTCAGGCCGTGGACAGCTACAATGTCAATGGCCTTGGTCTCGTCATCCTTACTGGATTTTGGAATCCCTGTTTGGCGCACAAGCTTTGCCGTTGGGCCTCGTCCGCTAAGAGGAATGGGTGTGGTATATGCAGACATGTCGCGATTCTGGCGCATGTAAACTTCAATAACACATTTGGCAGGGAAGGGTTGCGTATTCAAGTTTTACACAAGGGCAGGGGCGGGATATGTAGTGATAAATGGACCTCGCGGCGTTAAGACGACCTCTACCTGCAGGCAGAGAGAAGAAATTTGGAGAGTGGTATGGAGGCACGCGCTTGGGTCGATTTGCTTTTTGGTTGGGGGGAAGGCTGCGCTCCTTTCTCTTGAGCCATATGGATTTCCAAGGCTGAGTTAAGTGCCATGCCACCACACCAGTGGGCTAAGCCTCCACCGTTCTAGGGAGTACAAAGGGGCCAGATGCACTTGTCCTGTTTGTCAGGCTGTGGTTAGAGTCAGGCTGTGATTAGTGTGATGAGCTTTGCCATATCTGCAGAATGGCATTAATAACGGCACTACCTAAGATAATATGGTCTAAAATTAACTGGGCGCTGCTTGCATCCGTCATAATTTCAATGAACTTGAGTCTTCCGGGGTGTCATTACAGTCGATGTCTAAGATTCTCGAGTGGACTTTGCAGGTGTTTTCGAGTCCAGAGTTTAGTTTTGGCTACATTTACCCCGTCTTCGACAGTAAGCATAATCTGCGGAGTATGGATACATAGCAGGAGCAAATCATGTCGAATAAACAGAAACCCTTGAGTCGGGCTTGTTGGTTGTATTATAAATGAGACTGCATGTCGAGGTGCAACGTCATGCTAAATATAGGTTCATTTCTGTTCGTCGCATAGTATTAGTAGCCTCGTTTTGCCAAAGCTAAACCAGCCAAAATATGTACATGTAGGAAGGCTAGTCGGCCAACAGGTTTACCTTGCATGTGCTGAAGCTGAACACAGACACCCTTCTTTTCTTTTTTTGGGGGCACTTGAGAGTCTTCGTTTTTGATATTGCTTTTCTCGAAGATAAGGAATCTGACTAGGCTACTGTATGTATTTACTCATTGGTGCTAGCGTGCTTTGTTGTCATTGGATGCTGTGGTGCGCGATCGACAAACCATGGGTCTGCCAAGTCTGGATACGAGGTATAGACTTTCGGGGCGAACCCATTTCCCACCAAGTCTAATGGGAACACGCCTTACTACTCAGCAATAGGCCCATTTCTATAGTTCAACTGGGTACATAAATGAATAACGACAGCCCTGGAGAAACTGATCCAAAGTCGTGAGTGTGCTTTTGGTCACAGACAGCTTGCAAAGCTATTCCATTCCATTACCTACTGTGCACCGTGGAGGTCTCCAGCTCTTCAACACTTCCACGAAAGAAGGTCAAGACTGGGGCAAAGAAGACTGCGGTAAAGAAGACGGGAAAGAAGACCACTGGCAAGAAAAAGCCAACTTCGTCCACTAGTCAAGTTCACCTTGCCACTCCTTTTCATCCTCAACCCGCGAACACTCAGTATGCACCGACATATGCGCCTATTCCACAGACGGTAGTTCTGGAGAAACCAAGTAAGAGACTGACTTTCGCTTGAGCGACTGCAACATTCTGAGAATAACGCTAAAGGAGTCCCGGTAGTAGGTAACCGAAAAGGAAAAACGTCGTCATGTCTACTCGTGTGCCTAGCGGTTTTCTCCTATCTGGTGGCCATCGTCTTGGGTCGTAAGTATCAATTACATGCGTGATACGGTGTGTCTCTAACGGCGTCTAGTTTATATCGTGACTGGCTGCGTCTCAACAACGGCAAAGGCTAATAAAATCTACCTTGCTGAAATCTCAACAAACAAGACATACGATATGTCACTTCGTGTGGGCTACTTTGGTGAGTGGGCCATAAGAGCCAAACCTTCCTTCATTGAAAAGACCCGTTCCAATTAACTGTACATAGGAGGATGTCTATCGGTCACCGAAGCAGCTGGTGTGTCCTCTCCCAATGGCAGTTCCTCCGCACAAACGTCCATCCACTGCGTCTCGAACATGCGCCGGAAAGATCTGGACAACCTGAGCGAAGACCTTTGGGAGCCTCTAGCCCTTGGCTCTTCTGGTGCCCGATCCAACGTTCAGTCCTTTCTAAATACTACCCTCCCACAAGCCAAACACCTCCAGGAGAATGTCTTCTTCTGTGAACCTCCTCTCGTCCATATCCTTCTATTTTTCGTCTCAGGGATTATGCTCCTCGTTGCTCGCACAGGCACTTCCAGGAAGAAGTCATACAAGGCAATGTTAGTGATAGCGATCACACTGAGTGCCTTCTCGCTTGCCCTCGCACTAGTGACCGTCCTCGGCTCTCTACAGGGCATGAATGCGTTGCTTAACATCTCTGCATCTGGGGAGCTAAGAGACCTTGGTGATTCCTTGTATATATCGCGTGGTAAAACTATCCAGGCGATCCAGGGGGCTCTTGCCGGTATTGTCGCGGTATTCTATGTCTCAATGGGGGTGCTCTTTGTGCAGCGGACGCCAGAGGGAGCGGCTGGTTATATAGTCCAAGCCTTTCAGATGGCAGGGAGACCTTTGAAGAAGGGGTGGGGAAGAAGATAGGCACTATTGTGGACATAACGCAGAGTTATGATGCGGGATATGTTGCCGGGGTAATGTCTTGTGGGGGGAGGCATGTTAAAGGGTAGAATAGGATGCATTCCTATACCTGGCCTATCCTCCCGGGTCGATTTTGCCTTCTCTCTGTGTTAATTATAGTCTGAGGGACTCTGCTTTGCTATCTTATTTCTCTCTTTCAATGTTTAGGTCTTATCCAAACAATGAGTTGCTAGGCATTAATGGTAATTTGTGCTCTAATTCGCAAGGATCTAGCTCAGGCATTAACACATCTGTGACTGCTACAAATAACAGCATTGACAGCAGAGGCTCTGGATTGAAATAGTCTCCAGAGACTTCTAGAGAATTGTCAATAATCTTCTCACTGGAAAGTGGTGAGAATCTACTAATTAGTGCTTAATGCCAGACCCACTTCGATATTCCAGCCAAAGGATTACCCCATGCATGATCCACTACTGCATAAACTGATTTAGGTTGTGACAAGTGCAGCTGTCAAGCCTCTGCTCTAATAAGGTTGTGTATGGGGTAAGTGGGAATCAGTGATCCCCGCCGATGGTCCCCGCCCGTAATTGTAAATCCCCAAGCCCTTTCTGCTCGGGCACCAACAGCCACTTGATTAATCAATTGGCTGTCTCAATGTGTAAAATGGTCGAAAATAATAATTTTAATTAACGCATTCATATCCATTTCGAGTCGAGCGACAACCGTCAAGGCACTGACCAGGGCGATTAGGACAACATTAACCCAACGGGTGCTGTTAAGCCTGCAGCTTTAGTTGCACCACTAGGTCCGCCTACAAGTCCGTGCAAAGCATTCAGGTCCGGTTGGGCCTACAGGACGCGACTTTCCTAATTCCTGTTACACTCACGATGTGGATCATCAGTCCCAAAAGCAAAGAAGACAAAAGCAAACAAGACGAAAGCAAACAAGACGAACCCAAAGAAGGTGGACAAGGAGAGGATGTACAGGTATAGTGGAGATGAGCATGATCATTACTGATTTATCTGCATACTGTGATATATGATAGCAGAAAAAGGAATCGAATTCGAAATATGCTCAAACTATACATTAAGAAGTATTTTACAAATTGCTAAAATCTAATAGTGTAAAAAGATTAACTTTACTATTTGTCTGATGCTGCCTGGGTAAGTTTAGGGTGAGGGCCGCTTTAGCATCGCGCAACATGTATGAGAAAGGTGATCACTCAGAAAGGCAGGGCGAAATACTCCGTAGCTGGGTGAGCCATGCTCAGTCATAGGACCGCCGCATTGGCCTTCGTGGCTGAACTATGAGATGCCATCATTGGGTCGTCCTCTATGACTCCAGTCTGTTGGCTCATGCACACCGCCACCCGGCGAAGGGCTAGGGAGCCATTCTCATTGGGGCTGACCATCGCAATCACTGCACCAACTGCAAAGCTGGGTGATAAACATAGAGAGCCTTAGAGTTTTATCCAGTCCCATCACAACACAGACTCATATATACCTTGGGAGAGTGCTAACATTTATGCCTGTCGCAGAGGCCTGCCTGCTGCTAACGCTTTACATGCTGCTTGCACTCAAGGCTATAAGGGTATTATACAGCTGCATCACCCTTCTCAAAGCAGCTCTATAATACCCTTATAGCCTTGAGTGCAGCTTTAGCTGACTTACCAACATCTAACCTAGGGCCCACTGGCCACTGTCTAATAGGAATGTTGTATTCCCCTAATGGGGCATTCTTATATCAGTTATTAGTAGTATTAAAAGACCAAAGCCTTCAGAGTGAGCCTCTTGGATTTTAGTTGATCACGAAAAACTCAGAATAGAAACGATTGAGAACCTGTCTTCAAAAACTCTACCTCCTAAGATACAGTGGGAATTCCATCAGAAGACTGGACTATCTTCTCTCTCAGTGCTCATACTTATATTCATGGCTAAAAAATGGGTGGACTCCATGGTGGTTTCCAACATGACATATAGTCTCAACTCCTCATCTCGGGCAGGTGAGACGCTCGATATATATACATCCACATGAGTCATGTGTCAACCCATGAGAAAGGACTTCAGTCCTGCACGCAGTCAAATCCGGTGAAGTGTCTGTGGGTCTGTCCATAATAAGCGCGAGGTTTCGGCTTACGAGTGACAAGCGAAAATATGAAATAATTCAAGCCTGGCGGGATTCGAACGCTTGATATTCCAAAAGTCGAACGTTCTTGGCATTCGATCGAATCAGATTGCGGTACGCTTCTCTGTCATCTGCCGGTGCATGTCTCAGGGTCAATCTCTGAATTGGACTCTATTTATAACGTCCATCTTCCGCTGACATTAGGCCCCCTATGGTATAGCTGAGCCGGCCCAGAAAGACAGCAAGAATATTCGGCGATCGGAACATGATGGACCACGTGACCCCTGTCCACGAAAGGGAATGATCTCATAGTTGTCCGATCTTCAGCATGGATTGCCCATTTGGGACGCCTGTTGTGCAAGGTAGCTTTGCAGGAGGCCTC